GGCATAGTGAAAAATCTCCTACCTCTACCCCTACCTGTTCAGTTCCCCACATATTTCCACCCTCTTCCCAGGCAGATAAGTAATGGTATTAGCTTCTTATATATCCTTCTAGGGATTCTTATGTATATGTAAGCAAATCTATAAATAATCACACACACTTCTCTCCTGTCTCCCTCCTTTTGTAATATAAATGGCAGTATACTATTCTGCACTTCATTTTTATTTATTTTTTTTAAGTAGGCTCCATGCCCAATGTGGAGCCCAACATGGGACTTGAGCTCAAAACCCTGGGATCAAGACCTGAGCTGAGATCAAGAGTCGGACATTTAACTGACTGAGCCACCTAGGAGCCCCTCTGCACTTCACCTTTTTTTTTGTTTGTTTGTTTTTTAAGATTTATTTTTTAATGAGGGCCAGGGGAGGGGCAGAAGGAGAGAATCTTCAAATGGACTCCCCAGCAGAACAGGGAGCCCAGGTCTGGGTTTAATCCCACTACCAAGGAGATCATGACCTGAGCAGAAACCAAGAGCTGGACACCACTCTGCACTTCATTTTTAATTATTAAGTATATCCCAGTAATTTTTCCATGTTATCTGGAAGGGTTCCTAATCATTTTTATAGCTGCATAGTATTCCATTTATTTATTTCCATGTATGTGTGTGAGGGTGTGTGTGTATGGCATGTGCCCATTGGTTTGGCTTGCATTAATTAAATAGGTTAAATACAGACCAAACCAATGGACATTTAGTTTGTTTCCTATCTTCTGCCATTATAAACAATGTTTCAATACTCTTGTACATATGTCATTTCACAGGTACATAAGCATTGCTGCTATGTAAAGGGGTTTAACAGGATTTTAATAATTTGTAGGTCAATTAGTTTAAGCACTATCTAATCTTGAGGAATTCTATTATGAATAGTATTAAAAACATCTTGAATACAAGGCAATGCTGCATTTGAAATTGTTTTCCATTGTTTCATTTAAAGGCCACAGGGAGGACCTCTGTTCCTTGCTGCTATTAGCAGGGGAATGTTTTTTTTTTTCTCCCTAGTAAGAAAGTATAATTTTAAAAATATTTATTTTTCCTGAAAATCTTTTAAGATGATCTGCTTTAGACGATAAAATTACTGAGGGAAGCCCTCCTCTGAAAATGGGAGAGCTACTCTATACTCCCTTCTGAAGTAAGCCTGGAATCAAATCCTCTTTCCTTCATATTGTTTTCACTTTGTTTTCTAGCATCATAGGTATAATCTTCTATTGTCTGAATTTCCTTACTCATTAAACAGGCCCATCCCATAAAAATCTTAGAACAGTTTTCCTCTACCTTTCTCCTACTGAATACCTAAAGGTCTCTAATTATGATATGTGGATATTCATTCAACCTAGCAAGAAGTCAAGGCATGCTCATACCGATGAGATGTTGAGAAAGCTACACCTACTAACCTTCAAGGCCCATGGATACCAGGAGTTCAAAAGGAGATAAAAATAATAGTTCACAGCTGAATTGGGAGCAAAGTAAGTAGCGGCAAACTGGCACCTTCTGTTTTCCCTGACATACTTCCAGAGAGTGAGGACTGGTATGATTGGGGAGTGGCAAGCAAGGTCATATTTTGAGGAAAACTGGGAACTGCTGCAATGGGGGGAAAAGTTATTTGTTTGAAATATATGACATCTCAAAATATACCCTGAAATACAGTAGATTCATATCCTTGTTGCTGTGATGGCACCACGATATCAGTAGAACCTGAGAGGGTAAAAAATCAGATTTTTCCTCATCTTCCCTAGGATATCCCAAGAAATTGAGAGGATAAAAAAAGGGAAGCTTCTGGTAGAGTAACAAAAATGTGTAATGTTACATTTACACATTTAATATGACATGTCCCCAACCATCCACAGAAATTGCCCTGGGAACAGTCTCTAAGAAACTCTTTACCGTCACATCTGAAACAGCTTTTCGGTCCTCATCTTATAGTCTCTGAGGAAACTGGAAGGAGTCTTTCTTAAAACTTAAAAAGCCAGGGCACCTAGGTGGCCCAATTGGTTGAGCATCCGACTCTTGATTTCGGTTCAGGGTTGTGAGACTGAGCCACATGTTAGGCTCCCCACTGAGCAGGGAAGCCAGCTTGAGATTCTTTCTTTCTCCCTCTCCTATGCCCCTCCCCCTTCTCATGTGTGCACATACCCTCTCTCTCTAAAATAAGTAAATAAATAAAATATTTTGGGAAAAAAACCTGAACAACTTAAAAAGTCCCTTCTGGCCAAGTTTCCAAGCCATTCTCTGCTGAGTCTTTTTTCTTCTTTGGGGACTCCCTCTCCATGCCCCATCCAGCTTCTCCTCTGGCAAGTACCCATGAGTATTATCATGCCCTCTAGCTCCCATTTTAGATCTGATGCTTCACTCAGTTTCAATTATGCCCTCAGCTCCTCAGCCTAGGCTTCAAGACCCTTCAATTGGCAGATACCTTATGTCAAAAATTGAACTATTTCATTTTCTACCCCAAAACCGCCCCTCCTACAGTTCATCTCTCTATTCAGTCATCCAGAAGTCCACAAGTCACCCTCATCTCTCCCCTCCCCCAACCTTCCTGTCCCTGGAGTTATAGAGATTCTATCTCCTTAATTTAACCTGAATCACTCTCCCTCTCCCTCCCACTGCTGAATCTCACCCTGACCTGATCTCTCCATCCGCAAATTAAATTTTTTTTCATATTTTTGCATTAGTAACTGTATATACTTATATTGTATACTTTAAAGTGACTTTATGGACCAACCAGGAACCTGAGTGGGGGTTAGGTGGACTGTTAAAAAACACTTTCTAATTCAACTTTAACCATGTTATGGCCATTACTCCTTCAGGGGCTCCTTGTCTCCTCCATTACTCCTTGGTACACTTCTACAATCAGGTCTCTTTTCTCTGGGTTCTACCCCACAATAGTAGTCACTATTTCCCCCTCCTTTAGTCACACCGCATGCAGTGTCATAAACACAGCAAGTCTGTTCATCCCTCCATGCTTTTGTTCACACTGTTGCATTCACTCCTTCCCTGCCTCAGATGGACCTCATCATCTTTCAGTTTAGGGGGATTACCACCTCTCTGCAGTTTCTCCTGATCTGTGAATAATGCCTATAAAAGTGTCCACTCCCTCCTTCACTCTCCTACTCTATCATACTTCTAGTAATAGCATCTATGTTTCTTTATTCTATTTATTTGGTGTAGATGAAGCACAATAACTTTCTTTTAAGTGATACTATTATTTGCTCTATTTAAACATAAGGAAGCTGGGGGTATATAGAAAATTCTGGCCACTTCTTTCAAGGAATTTATAATATAATTGAGAATTTGGATTAGATGTAATTTAAAAAAACAAAAATTCATTTTTTCTTATATTTTCCTTAGAAGTTTTCATTTATGTACATTTAAAAATAAAGAAACCATCAATTTCCCCAAAACTCAACTTTGTTCTCGTAATCATAACCTGTGCTGTGCTTATCAATAACTAATCAAACCTATCACTGGATCAGTATAAAGTAGTAGTGCTTATAACACTTTCAGAGACATGATAGGTAATCAGTAAATTAATGAGTTGGAGAGGAATTTATATGTCCATAAACTTGGATATATATACATGTAGCTCATTTTAAAGATCTAGGTTACTAGTTTTTTTTTTTTTTAAAGATTTATTTATTTATTCATTCAGAGAGAGCGAAGAGAGAGGCAGAGACACAGGCAGAGGGAGAAGCAGGAAGCCCGATGTGGGACTCGATCCTGGGTTTCCAGGATCACACCCCAGGCTGCAGGCGGCGCTAAACCGCTGCACCACCAGGGCTGCCCGGTTACTAGGAGTTTACCTATAACACACATATTGATGAGATATATATATCTCATTATTTCAGGCAAACCCCTAGTAATCTAGACCTTAAGAATAAGTCTAATTATTGATCAATTGTTCTTTTTCTTAAGTTTTTATAAGAAAATTTCAAACAAAGAAAAACAGAGTACAGAATAAATAATAATAGTAGAAAGGGTAGTATAGGGTGCCTGGGTGGCTCAGTCAGTTAAGCATCTGCCTTCTGCTCAGGTCACCATGCCAGGGTCTTGGGACTGATCCCTGTGTCGAGCTCCCCACTCATCAGGGAGCTTGCTTCTGTCTCTCCCTCTGCACTCTCCCCTTGTTTCTGCACTCTCTCTCAAATATATAAAAAAGTAAAATCTTAAAAAAAAAAAAGGAAGCATAACAAATTCCATGCAGCTATAACCATTATCATTAAATAGCCAATCTTCTTTTATTTATACCCCTATCTTCCCCCCAAGATTATTTTGAAACAAATCCCTATCAGGCCATTTTATAAGACATTGTTCACTTTTAAACTCCTCAAGGGTTAAGATTTCAATACAGAGTGTGTTGCCTACAGTTAACAGTACCAACATCTAACTAGGTCCCTCAAAAAACATCAGGCATAAAACTATGATATAGGACATACAGTTACGATAATTACAAATGTGATCCCTTTAAGTAACAGATAAAGAATTCTCAATGCTTAAAACTATTAAATTGGGGAACACTAACATTAAAAATAAATCCCAGCTAAAACAAGTTTTGTTCTTGTATTTTAATTTCTTCTGGCAAATAAGATTAACTTAAAGATAAAATCTTATTCCTCACACATTTGCAACATTACATGATTATTTTACTATTAAAACTCTGATTTAAAGTTTTTTCTTGACGAAACAGGAAGAATATTTTACATAGAAATATGAACTTCAGCAACAAAATTGGTTTTTAACCCTTAAAAAGTAGAGTAATGAGGTCTCATAGCCTTAATTTAACTGGCAGATAAAAAAAATGAACTGTAAACACTTTCCAATAAATTTCACATAGCACAGAAGAGTAGGAGAAATTTTGGCATGCAAAACAAGTGTGTGATATTTGAGTGAAAAGAGGAAAGGTGAATGGGAAATTAGTCTAAGGCCAATGGAAAAATAGTTATAAAAACTTACCTTGTTGCTGCCTAGACTGTAGAATGGAATAAGATCTTGTCGGCTCCCAGACAACTGAAGAAGAAATAAAGAGGGGATTAGTCCTTTAAGTGTGAAAGTGCAGAAATCTACAGTCCTGGAAATACAGGAATTTGAAAACCACATCAACAGAATGCGAAAGTCAGATGGGACCAGAGACACTGTCGAGACCAAATTTGTAAATTGGGCTAGCTTATACTTTGACGCATTATCACAATTTTTCCGAAAGATTTATTTATTTATTTTGAGAGAGAGGAAGACTGGGCACACACAAGCTGGGGGGGAGGGGCAAAGGGAAAGGAGAGAGAATCCTCAAGCAGACTCCTTGCTGAACACAGAGCCCTGACGTGGGGCTCAATGCCAGGACCCCAAGATCATGACCTGAGCTGAAGTCAAGAGTTGGCAGCTTAACCAACTAAGCCACCCAGGCACCACTCACAAATCTTTTTTTTTTTTAACTGAACTGAACTTTAAGGTGGGAGGTTTGTATAAGATCAGATACCCAGTTTACACTGAGGCAACAATCACCTAGGCCTGGGTAAGGGATACTTCGTCTGTGTATCCCCTTCTATTTAAAGGATACGAGGTTATTGATTATTTTACCATGCCCTGATCTTACAACTTCCTTCTCTGGTATTTGTAGCAGACGTATAGACATAGACCATTTATTTTAAACCATAGAATTCTAAATACCAAATCTCTGTATTTTAATGTACCGTTTTCCGAGGAAATGAGAAGATTTAAGTTGAAAGAAAGTGATATTTCTTAATGTCTGCGGAAGTTCCCAATCTTTCATCTGAGATGATTAGTGACATCATTCACTTACTCTGGGGCCACATGTACCTTCCCGGTTGATACTCTCCCTACCACTCACTATGGTCTCTCAAGCATTAAGACTAAGGTTCAGCTGCTCTTTATAACAATGCTTGTATTGTGGTTTTTCTTGGTGTAAAGTTAGACCAAGGTAATATTTCTCATATCCACATCTTTGTCAAAAGTAAGGAAAGGAGAGATAAATCACAGGGCCACAATGATATTTCTTTGTGAAGAATTATTTGTATGCTTAATATGCACATATATTATACCTATGTTTTAAAAGAGAATAACAAACTTAAGACACTGTTATGAAACATACCTAACTTATTTTTACTCATTTATACTATCCTGGATTGCCTTTAAGCAATTGAGTTTGTAAACTAGTCCAGATTTCTCCTCAATTTAAAAGTAATTAAGTTAGGCCCAGAAAATTCAAATCGTTTGCCCAAGGCACTCGGCTAGTTTTGCTTTATTTAGTTCAACAAACACTGAACACCCAGTCATTGTGCCAGGCACTGCTCATACAAAAATTAGAGAGAAACATTAAAGATGTGATTAAACAGACACTTTCCCTATCATATTGGTGAGGACAATGACAGAGGTCTGCACTGACGCTACGGGTGCCTAAATCAGTTCAGAGAAGGAAATGATATCTGAGAGGAGAGTTATAGGATAGAAAAGAGTTATCCAAGGAAAGAGGAACAGGGAAGGAGAGCCCATGCAGAGCAGAATGGGGAGTCCATGTACTTACTCTGTTCACGTTTGGAGAGCTTATACTCCTCCTACTCAGCTTCCCCTTTCCTGTCAACTGCTCTTTCACTGTAACCTCCTGTCAGTACAGAGGAAGAATACAGATCAGAGATGCACCTCCAAAGCAATACCATGTACAGCAGTCTTTCAGCTACCATCACTACATATATATTCCTAGTTCTTTAAATCATGGCTGTTACTTAACACCGTGGAATGACCTTATTCCAATCACTGTGGAACATTCAAAGTTAATTATTCAGCTGATGGGTTACCTAGATGATTCTTTATCTACTGATGGCTCCCTTGAAGCTGGCCAGAAGTTAGTCCCAGGAGACAGATATGAAAATTAGGTCACTTTTATTTTTCATAAGGATCTTTGGTAAAAACCAAAAGTCTCAATATTGCTACATAAAATGAGGTAGAGAGTTCCACCAAGTATTAAGTGTACTGCTGGCATCTCTATTACCCCTTCTAGAGACCCACTCCAGGGCTGTGGTGGGCGAAAAAGGGCCCAATCTGCCACATTCCTACATACTTCTTTAGCAACATTATTGTCCACCGTTAAAGGATTTTTAAAATAATTCTTTAGCCATCAAGCATTAAATATTTCCCCCCATTACCTCAAGGCAACTATATATCATTTAGCATCTTGGTGAAAGTAACTTTCCAAGTGGAGCTTTTGTATGTTCACAGACTTAATTAACAAGTTTAACCTAAATTAATATGCTCCACTTAAAGAGATGCTTCAAAAGTTTTTTTTTAAAGATTTTGTTTATTTATTCATGAAAGACAGAGACACACAGAGAGAGAGAAAGAGACAGAGAGAGAGGCAGAGACACAGGCAGAGGGAGAAGCAGGCTCCATGCAGGGAGCCTGGCGTGGGACTCAATCCCGGGTCTCCAGGATCACACCCTGGGCTGAAGGCGGCGCTAAACCGCTGAGCCACCTGGGCTGCCCCCCCCCCTTTTTTAAAGATTTTATTTATTTATTCATGAAAGACACACACACACACACACAGAGAGAGAGAGAGAGAGAGAGAGAGGCTTCAAAGGTTTAGATGTAAAAACAAAACAAAACAAAAAAAACACAAAATTTTAGTTGTATCAACACTGTGAATTGCAGAGAGGTAAAGAGAATAAGGCTGGGTCAGCACCACTGCTACCAGCTATGTTGACTAACCTGGCGGAGACGATCTAAAGTGAGAAGGTTCTCCACAGCCAGCACACTTCTGAGGTATTTTTCAATATAAGCCTCTGAGTCAGCAGAAGCCGTGTTTTCAACATTAGCTGCCATTCTTGCTAATGTTTCGCGTTCCTCTACTCCCTGGGCATCCTGGAGAACAGAAAGTTGGGTATTAAAATGAAATACTTTGTAGAAGAAAACATAAAAGCTTCTTGATCTATACAAATACACACAAAAAGAGTACTGAACTAACAAATGGGATGGTATTCCAAAATTCCATTTTAACACTAGCTTTTGGAACTCAAAACTCATTTTCCCACAGAAATCATGGTATCAGTGGTGGTTAGGTTAACTTGAACGGTTAACCACAGTGCCACTGAAACACAGCATATTCTCAATAACACCGTTCTCTTCTATATTTCTATTGTAAATGAAAACATTACTGGCTAGAAAGGATTTGGTGGAAAAAGCTGGAAATATAACCACCACCACACTTCAGAAATACATCACAAGGGGCAAAAGACAGGAATGAGAAGCTGGGGTCCAAACAACTCTAGCAGGAAGCAGACACAGGTATGGAGAGTAAGAATGAAAAGTAGGTTTGGCTTTCAACCCCTTTTGCTCAGCAGCCCACCATGGCCTACATATTCAACATGTGGCAGCTTGTAAAATTGGTCTCAGTCCGCAACTCTGGAATAACAGGGACCAAAAGCAAAGTATCTAGGTAAATACTCCCTCACTGTGCTTTCCCACGGAGCCCACCCCCACCCCCACCCCACTCCTCTAGAGTGATGGCCTTTGCGTATAAATGGGGTGTTCAAGTCAGGAAGGGTCCTTGCTAGTGCATTTAATCATGTCAGGCAAGCTTGGTTCATAACAAATTACTCTTCTCAGACAAAAAACTGATACTTTATTTACTTGTGAATTTGTTATAATAATGCCAAAAACTACAAAATATATAGCCATAAGCTATGCATCTGAAGATGCCATCAACTTCAAGGAAAAAAAAATTATATACCAATAAGGAGAAAAAAATCTGCCAATTAGTTTTAAGATATCAATTTTAAGATGTGTTCTAATGTCAAAAGTATTCTTAAAAATTTTAATGAGCTTTAGAACAGATAAAATGTGGAAGAATTTGGAAGGTGGCTTAAGTTTATAAAACTTCTATCTTGAACCTACTATGGTTCATTTGAGCCTTTTAATAATCCTGAAAAGAAGCAATCATCCTTATTTTATAGATGAGGAAAGAAGGCCACATAATTGGCAAAAGAAGCAAGACTAGAACTTAGGTCTCCTGATTCCTGATAAGAGTAATCCTTTTACCTCTTAACACAGAATACTTTTTGGTCTCTGAAGGGAATAAATATTACTCTGATTTTGTAAGAAAAGGGAAACTTGAATTTTAGGGAAATGTATACACTGTTACCCACATCCCTATCAGTATACAAAACATTTCCATTACCTTAGAAAGTTCACTGACAGCTTTCACAGTCAATCCCCTTCCCCCAAGGCAGGGGTCATTTCTTTCCCCACAGATTAGATTCACTTGTCTTAGCATTTCACATAAATGGAACCATACTCTTTTGTATCTAGCTTCTTGCACATGGCATAATGATTCTGAGATTCACACAAGAAGTTCATTTCTTTGTGTAGCTAAGTGGATATGGATATACCACAACTTCCTTATCCATCCACCCCCGATGGATGGTTGTGTTGTTTGCAGTTTTAGGTGACTCTGCATTAGGCTGCTATGAGTGTTCTTGTACATATCTTTATGGACACACATGGTCACTTCTCTTGGGTAAGCACCCAGAGGTGGGAGTGACTGGGCCCTGGGGTAGAATGGTGGAACCATCTCCTGGAGTCTGGCCCATCATCAGTTCTTTCTACCACCAAGCTTTCAGAGCTACTCTAACAGGGAACATAAAGAACTTCTCAAGGATTTTTCATGGTAAATCTCGCTCCTTAAGGAATCTGTTTATTTTGCTTTTAAATAAAAAATAAACTAAGTGTGGTCCTTTCCCTGTAAGTTTTAAGTCTCACTGTGCCTTTTTCTTTATCTTCAGGATTTGATATTGTGAAGAAAAAAAAAAAAACTTGTTAACTTAGATGTGTAGCTAATTATTAACAGGTAGCTCAACGAGAGAGGCTATCTGCTTATCTCCCAGCTGATTCCCCCTCAACATTTCCTCCCTTTGAAAACTGTATCACCCAGAGAACAAAAGCATTTTTAAAGGGGATAAAGAATCTATAATCAGTAAGGGATGAGACAGGAGGGTAAGGAAGATGAGAGAAATGGAAAAATGTAAGGGAGTCTACTACAGGGGTTCTTTAACTGCATTCAAACCATTTATAGAGTTAAGATATGAAACAGCCAGAAAGACACATAAAACATTCAGACACAGAGAATAAATTGTAAGTCTCTAGCTGAGCACCTAAGTATACAAAGAGTAATCTACTACAGACATACGGTTTTGCAGCCAGTCTAACAGACAGAAGACAGACTTGGCTTTTAAATGGTTAGCTGACTCCAAATTAAATAGTTAAGCAGCTAATATTTACTGTGGAAGTCTAACACTTTGAAGATCCAGTATAAGATTTCTTATAGTACAAGAAATCTAAAACAAAGCCCATATCCTAGGTAATCTTTTCAGTCTTCCAAAAACTAATCTCTCTGTTGAAATATATTTTGTCCACCTATTGCTCAAATGCTCAACAGAATCAACAACTTCCAGCCCTCAAAAATGAAGAGACTGATGATGTGGACAGTGTGGTTAGCAGGGAGTGTCCACTTCCAGTGCACATTTCCACATCTCCACTCCCAAGGAAAGTACAATCTGCACCTCCTCACTTACTCCTCGATTTCAGATAGTGAGTATAACAGAAGGAAGTGCTCTTCTCTCTCTTTTCCAATATCCTCCTAATAGAATCCTCCTTACCCACCCCCCCCACCCCCAGTAAGGAAGGAAGGCCTCCATTACCAGCTGTGCCAAAGCCCAGGTGAATAAACTTGGGATTAAATATTAGGAAGCATATATAAACTACACCGTGCAGCCAGCTTCCGTCAGGGGCTATTTCAAACTCCATGTGTTTGATTCCTATGACTTTCTCAGTTCAGAAAGAGAAATAAGGAGAAGAAAATAATAATAGGAGCTATAATGATGGCAATTACAATTGACTGTTTAGTGTGTGCACAATGACTTGTGACATCATCTCATTTAATCCTTAAAAACAAAACTGTACAGAAGCTATCATTAACCCAACTAAAAAATAAAAAAATTAGGCTCCAAGTAACTTACCAAGTTCATCGCACTAAGAAGTGATAAATTACTGTGTGATCCCAAAATGAAAGCCTGAATCTCTCTTTTGTGCTATGTTGCCTCCCTTTAAGGGTTACAATAGTGTTTCACTAGGTCTACTGGGAGTGAAAAGGAGTGCTGTCTTCTAGGAGTGTTGATTTGCTTTTCAAAAGGAAGTTCTTTAACAAAATGCTAAAACCAGAACCCTTAAAGCCACAAATATATTTTACTATGTATCACATTAAGACTAGGAAATTTCCCCTACAAATCTATAGCATTTGACCAAATACACATTTTCATTGACTATATATTTCTTAGGTAGGTGACTTTCAGGGAGTTAGCTCTTTTTACATGTTTATTTTTAGTAAACTCAAACTTCATACAATCCTTCACCTCTGGAATATTGGAGACAATTTCAAAAGTCACTCCACAGCCAGGAATAGAACTTCGATGTGACATCTTTTTTAGGAGACTCTGAGCAAAACCCTAGAGAAAAACAAAACAGAAAAATATGGTTTCCTACCTCAAAAACTGAGTTTTCATTAACAGAGACAGCACAAAGAATACTACATTCATTCTAATCAAAAAGAAACAGAAGAGCATATTTCCAAGATGAACAAGTTGAAATCCAAATCACTAAATATAGGCTTTTCAACTTTGTTTCAGCACACAAAACCAATTTATTAGGTTTCTGCCATGTGACAGGTCCTATTCCCAATATATGAAGAATGTGAACCCAAAATTCTGGAAACTGATTCTGGGCATCTGGTTCAGCTCTGCTTAAAGCTACAGAAATAAGACTGTTGAATTCGGCACAATAAATGCCCTTCTAAGATGTAAGTGAGGACTGGTGACTCTTACGCTTTTTTTTTTTTTCCAGTACAATGGACATCTTACAGCATGAATATTGACAAGTTCAGACATTAAATTCTTGACCAAAGCAGGATCGTTATGAAGAATGATTTAAGAGTGCATGGTCATTGTTTATGCTGACTGTGCTCTTCGCACAGTTAAGAATTGAACTGTTGAATTAATGCATAGATGACTCATTTGAAGATGCTGCTAAGACTGAACATCCTGTAGAGGTTGAAGAGAGCACGGATGAGGGCAGAATACAATTGGTGAATAAAGATAAGAAGAGAGAATATTAAACCAACACCCAACCTTTTTTCCTTGTGCAAACGGGAAGTATGAAATATGTGAAAAATCCCCAAAGAAAATAGAAAAATCAAGTCATTTGGCCTTATAAGTACATATTATCATAAACCTACTTAATAATAATTTCTCTTCAGTGATCTTTAGTTACTTTTTAAAAAAACTGTAGCTCTTAGAATGCAAAGAGACCACTGATTTCAGCCCTTCACTCTCTCAACTCGAGCACTGCAATGCTGAGCTGGGTCAGGGCACAGCTACCGCTTTTGTTTTTAACAGGTGGAATGGGGAGGTGTCGGTGCTGTTGTTACTTTACTTTTTATTTTCTTTCTGTATGGAACTACAGAAGCTGATATGCATATATTAGCGTCATAAGAAAGTACCTATTCTTGCTATCAAAAAGCAATTTTCAGGATTGAAATACCTGAAATTGGAAGGGAAACTGGCATGCCCTAAAATACAATCATGTCATTCAGTATCAATTTGATAATATCAAGTCATTTCAACCAGGGGAAAAAATGTGGCAACTTCTTATCATTATAATAAAAAATTAAAAATTACTTAAAAACACACCAAAAGAAAAAAAAATGCCAGAAGAAGCTTGGTGACTCCATGATGCATCTTTTCTATTAAGGATTCCATGGGGCTGGTGGTTGTACCAGGTCAGTCTCAGTGCCTGGCAACCAGAATCTCTAGCTCAGGAATGGCAAATAACTCTTCAAAATGCTCCTCAAGAGCAACGCGTCTTTTTCAATCCCTTAAACACTTCCGAGAAAAGAGAGCTGGAGAAAAGAGTGAACAGGAGGCATACCATATACGTCTATAGCTACCCTGATGACCTGGATTTTATTGATGCTGGATTGCCGAGCTAAAGAGCTGCAATTTTAACAGCATTACCGCCAGTCTTCATTTCAAAGATTGATATCAGTGTGACATTTAGAACTAAAGATTAATTTTTAGGGGTGGAGATTACATCTAGGACTCTATCAACCGTGACTGTGCTCTTTTAAATGAAAAGATTTCTTTTCATCTGTCCTGGTTTTAGTCAGTGTATTGAGAAGGCCTCAAAAAAAGTGAGCACAGACAGTTAAAAGAATCCCTAGAATGAGCCTCCCAAATCCTGTATTTGCAAAGTCAATGACAGAAATAGTTTATGTTCTTCCCTAGAAGTGTCCTACTAAACCCAATCATCTGGCACCAGGACCTTCATAATCCAGCTGCAACTATGTGGACAGCAATGGCCTTGGCCTCTGCAGCACGACTCCGTCACATTGCTGTCATACTGCCTGTCGTCACATTCTGCTGCTCGGGGTCTGAGCCTGTCACACCCTGTCCTTCTCCCCACAGCCTCTGCACACCTCCGCACAAAACAGCCCATTCCTCTCCCTCTGCCTGCCAAACATCCCCACCTGCAGAGGAGTGGCTGGCGTGCTATCCCACCCCTCTCTGACACCTTCTCGGAGTTGCTCGCTGGGCATTCTCCATTCCTCTACCTGCCATCTTCCAGCACTTGGGGAGCACCTGCAGTGCTATCCCGACAGAAACGCCACCTGTTTATTCAGCTACGTATGCTGACAGACACTGGCCGTCTCAAGATGCAGACTATTTCTTAACTCATCTTGTTATACAAAAGCTCCACAGAGTATACTCTCCAAATATATGAATCCACGAATTAGCGAGATGACTGAGAGGCAACAAAGATGTGCAAAGCAGAGGTTAAGTCCAAACAACGGCCAATCTGCAGAGAACCATCACATCTTGTACAATGCAAATGAAAAGTCAAAAACAAAACCAGAGAATTGGCTTTGACAGAGCTATGTGGCACCCAAAAGAATGTATTTAATTTGTGACTATGGAATACGAAAGACTCATTGTAACAACTGAATACTGTCTGGGAGGAAGTCAGGATGGCAGGTGCCGGGAATGAGGCAGGCATGGGTACAGGACAGCAGCAGTTGTGTCGAAGAGAAAAGCTCAATGCTGCACAGAGGCTGTTTGGACAGGAGGCCAGAGCAATCATTCTTGGCTCTGCCCTCATGCTGGACCTGTGATTAAAGTCATTTCTTCAACTAGGATTAACGACTCACCTGCCGGCCGTGAACATTGACACAAATTCGTTTCCGTAATACCAACTGCATGTCAGCAGGATGGCTGAGCTGGACTGTCACCCGCACAATCAGATACACTCGCTCATCCGCTGGGGTGCCTTTACTGAGCTGAGGACAGCTGTGCACTGCAGAGTCCCAAGAGGCTTCTGCTCTCACCTGAGAAGAAAGACACATCATATTTTTCCCTCTCCTCCTTGAAAAAACTTCACAAGGAAACATCTTGGCTTGGCTAAAGTTATACATACTGGTCATGAGTGCAGATCTACTAGAACTGCCCTGAGGGACTACGGAATATGAGCATGTGGTCTCCATTTCTTTAGTCTGGGAAGTATAGACGATAATGTTTCTGGCTGGCTGGCTGGCTTTTAAAATGTTTTCATTTTGGGGCGTCTGGGTGGCTCTGTCGATTAAGTGTCTGTCTTGGGCTTAGGTCATGATCCCAAGGCCCCAGGATCAAGCCCCACATCAGGCTCCATGCTTAGTGGGGAGTCTGCTTCTCCCTCTCTCTCTGCCCCTCCCCCTGTTTGTGTGCTTTCTCTTTCTCTCTCAAATAAATAAAATCTTTAAAAAAATAAAATGTTTTTATTCTGAAAAATGCTCAAACATAAAAGATGTGAATTCAGGACAATGAAGTCCTGTGTTATCTTCCACCTGAAATCATTAGCTGTTAATATTTTGCCACTTTTCCTTCCTCTTTCTCACAACTCATAACACACAGGCACAGGCAGGATTATTTTTTTGGTGAACCACTTCAGAGTAAGTTACAGAGCTGTAACTCTACATGTCTAAATTCATTAGCAAGAACCTTCTAACAGCAAGAACATCCTCTGACTTAACCATACGACAATTATATTCAGGAAATTTCCCATTGATGCAAAACGATCATATGATACATAGTCCATATTCAAGTATTTCAAAAGTTTCAATCCAGGATCACTAATTGCATTTAGATGTCATGCCCCTTTAGTCTACTTTAATCTGAAATGGTTCCCCAGCCCTTTGTCACTCAGGACACTGACTTATTAAAGAAGGAGACAGGCCTAGATGTCTGTTGTACAGAACACATCACAGTTGGGTGTGTTGGGTTTCTTCCCTACTACAAAGTTTTGCATCTTAGGAATACTACTAAGGTATGATGGGCCCTTCAGAGCATCACATCAGCTTTCCTTATTTAAACTATTTTCTCATTTTTCCAATATACTCAAAACTAGAAAATAAGCCCCCACTATACACCCATCACCCAGATTCAAACATTATCAAGATTTTGCCACACTGCCTTTATTTATTCTTCTTTTTCTCTTCTTAAGAAGTCTTTACTAAAGAATCTCAAAGCAAATACCCAACATTGTATTGTTTTATTTGCATGTACTTCAGTAGCATTTCCCAGGACAGGGGACCACTACTGACCTGAACTATGAATACTAACAGAGATCCTTTACCAGGAGGTGAACTAAAATGGTCAAGGGACATAATCTGGCTGTCTACTCCTTCTGGAAGGGATTCTGCTCTTTCTGGAAGTCATAATGAAAGGCTTTCATATCTATTTCTTGAGAAATATAAGCATTAAAATTATGACACTGTTGATTGTTTCAAAAGCTGCATGGAAAGGTTAAAGAAACTACTTTTCAGCTGATTTCTCCTAGTTATATTTGTTTACCTCTCCATCATGCTGTTTTACAATCTGCAGTTCAAAGAACTCATCCTCTTCTTCCCCAGCAAGGGTAGCATCCCATCCACCAGCTTCTGGGTCATCAAGATTATCTTGGGAGCTGAAATCATCAGCTAAAAGCAAAGAAGTTCCATTAAATCAGAGATCATTTTAAAGGATAACCCCTACCAGCTAAATTTCAATGTGCTTAGTATTAAAATTCTACTGCCTCAAATTTCATTTGCTTTTGACTCTAAAATCTTACATGACACGGAAGAGGACCATTAAACAGTTCACAGTTCTTAGAGATGGATAGACTCTCAAGAAATTATCTTATCCAATCTCCTACCTTTATGCCTTATTTTACATGGAAGGCAAACGAAGCCAAGATACCCAAGAGGTTATTCAAGGTCAGCCCATAAATGTTAATGATAGGATTATAACCCAAATTCCCTATCTTTTAGTGCATTGAAGAAATGAGAAGCGAGGGTGATTCCAATTATCTGACAGTTAAGTTCAACAAAAGAATCAATTGGCTACATGAGCCAGAAACTTGGAGGGTTGCCCCTTGGCCCTTTAGTTATTTAGTTCTAAGTCTGGCCCTCCCAATCCCCTATCTATCTTAAGCTTGTGAGTAGGGATCAAAAGTATCTTTCTAGTACATGAGCTCGTGCAAGAATGGGCATAAGGCTGAAAAAGCTCTTCATCATGTGTTGGGATATCCGTACAAAACAGGTCTTTTATAAGCTATTATTGTTTTCCACTCTTACCCTTCTAAACACATGCACACACATGCACACACATGAGCACCTCACCTGCCTAGGAACCTAATATGAGAATAATCTGGAGTAACCCTCAGCTTCCAAAGTGCCAGAGAACAACAAGGGAGGATAGAGGCAAAACACTCTATCTGAAACCCTCTCAGGTGGAGAGACAGCAGAATTTGTTAATGCTGTTTGCATATAATAATTTTATATAATTTTATAATAAAATAATTTTATTTTATTTATTTATAAAATAAATCTATAATTTTATATATAATTTTCCATATGTCTAAATAAGCTAAATAGTACAAGATGCTAAATAAATACCTCAGATATCATAACTTACTTTCAGCTAGATAGAAGAAAACCACTGAGGATACCCAAGCTTATCCATTTAGGATAGTTCATTGTACCACACGTTTTTTCTGCAAATGTTTTAGGAATTTAACTGCTGACTTTTACCTTATTTTTAGCTCTTTAATCTATCTTTTCAGCTTTATTTTCCTTCCTTGAACAGAGCAAATGTAAAATGTAGCCACATCCAAAATATTTTACGTGAAGGAGAAAAAAGTCAGAAAAAAATGACAGTTTCTCATAAACAAGCAATGCAGGAGTGAAGGGTATAAGAACTCACAGAAAAAGTGAGAAATTTGTTAGACAATGCTAAGAAAATACCACATAAAAGAAAGCATGCTACGTAAGCATCACTAGTTAAACTAGTCTTTTTCAGAGAGAAGTCTTTTCCTAAGAATTAACAAAGACAATACTCTAAGTGCAGGAAAACATGACTACTCCATCCTAACATGGTAAGAACAAAGCATACACATAAGTACGGATTATAGAATGAAATGTGAGAATGCGACAGGATAAACATACCTAGTACGGTAAAAAAATTATTATTCTTACAGAAAATTCATTCTTTGTCAAGGGTTAATGTCCCTCAGTGTACACAAAATGGACTCTAACCTTGGGCTTACAGAATTGCCTAACTGCAAACTTTGTTGGAATCTAAGTATTACTTGAACACTAATTCGTCAGAGGCAGGACTTCAGAAAGCACCTCCTAACTTACCATTTAAGTCAAGGAATATAACAGGAATGTGTGTTTCCATCCCAGGAACTGGGGTCCTAAAACATAATGAACAAATCGCATCTTAAATAAAGCAGACTTTCTCAGCAACATGTACTTCGAGATGCAGCGCTAACCCACACTGAGAAGTATTATAAGTTAAGCCAATGATATCATGTTTTTATTATATTTTCACATTAGAGATGCTCCCAAAGACCTACCTGTAACTGCTGCTTCTTTTCACTGGTGCTCTCGTGTATAATTATTGTATGTTCTGATACTAGAATTCAGTGTTATAAGATACATGTGCCTATTTATATTGAAACTCCCTTGTTTAAAGTTACTTTCTTAAAAAATTATATACCTAAGGACCCCATATGCCTGAATTTACTATTTTTAATTTCTATAAACTGGCACAGAACATTTGCTGACAGTACAGTTTAAGCCAGCACCAAAACCAAAAACTCCTGGAGATGCAATTTTATTATGACCAAATGGTCTTTTAAGGGAATGACCCAAGTAATTAACATATTAACTTTTTTTTAATGCTAAGTGCAGTGGTATTAAATATTGATTTAGATTCTCAGAAATCTTAATTACTTGGGCCAATAACAATATTATTTAATAAAACACAGTTTTAGGCCATAGTTATTCAGACTCATGAAAATAATTTAACACTTCCTCTAATTCAAACTTGTTTCCCCAGTACTATGATGAGTCTTTCATATATTGAAACATAGGCAAAATTCACACAGAAAGCAGGCAGCTCAGTGAGTATGTGGAACATCAGAAGGCTTGTGACAGCATTCATACCATTCTGCTGGGGCCCCTGGAATGCCACTGCCAGCAGAGGGCACCATTACTGCATTCCGCTCCTCCGTCAGAGTTAGCCTCATCTCTAAAAGTTGAGCTTCTCGGTCAGCATCATCCTCTGTTTTATCTAGAACATCAGGAATGAGGATCAAATACAGATTTCTCACCTGATTTACACTTTCATCCTGCGTATCAATAGGATTTGCCTGTACTTCAGTTACTGGTTGATAATGGTTCACCGAAAATTTATTACTTGCCTAATTAGTGATAAAAAAATCACAATAAAAAATGAATGATAAGCTGAAAAGGTTGATGTACTTTTACAGAAAGGCCATCTTAGGTTCATGGAAGGCCAACATGGGCCAGCACATGAATAATTTCTTCCAGAGTTAGAAGATTCAAGTGCCTTTGGGTAAGAAATCAAGAACATTAGCATCCTCCTTAATTTATTTTTGAAGGACAATGTTTATATACTGTATTTTCTCTCTTTGTTAGGGGTGGGGGGAGACCTATAGAAAGACATCATTACAGTTAAATAAATGTTACTCTGAAAGGATATGATAAAAATAAGCAACACTCCTATGTTCTTGCCATCCTCATTATTGATGTGTTCATGTACTTCTAATTTATGTGGCTGCAAATGGAGATTAATTCTGCACAGATTTAGGCAGGGGGAGGAAATATTCAACTTGCTTTTCCTACCATGTTTACTGACAAGTTTCTGCAGTTGTTGGTCTAAGTACTCCTGACGTTTTGTTAACGCATTTAGCCATTTTCTTCGCAGTCTCTCTAAATCCCGATCCTAAAAGGAAACAAGGGAAATTATGGCAAATATAACCTCAAGACAAGACATTTGAAACCAATGCTCCATTTACCTCACTCTAAGGTTTCAAAAATTTCAAGTATTATACATCAATCAAGATCTTTATGACCACTACTAGTTAACTCCAATCATTATTCAGAACAGAAAGTTCCAGAAACCAAAGCACTGTTATTCTGGAACAAGACAGCTTCTGAAAGGGCATTCTCTGATATCCAGAACCAGTTTTATTTCTATTGGTTCAAGGGATAGAACTCCAAGTAACTAAGATCTGTGATGCTCCTTTGCTGGATAAAAATCACAAATACTGGGGCACTTGGCTGGCTGTCAGAAGAGCATGCAACTCTTGATCTTGGAGTTGTGAGTTTGAGCCCCACACTGAACATTGGTATTACTTTTAAAAATTAATAAATTAGTACAATTTAAAAAAAATCACAAATACTACTCAATAATCTTCAACTCTATACCTTTGTGAACCATCATAAGAATTCCTTCAATTTCTTAACTTGTTTTAGCCTTCCACATGTTTCACTAGTAAAATATAAATGCTTCTCTCCCTTGTTTCTTGTGGGGGCATTTTTGGAGGAGAGAGGGGGCATTATCAACAGACTAAGAAGTCTACCAGCCAACACTTGACTGTACACCAATCTTGCCTCATTTCCTTTTATAATAAAGTTAACAAAACTGGGTAGATCAGTGGAATGCTGAGGATATAGTGTGTATCTGGATTTCACTAAGGCACTTAACCAAATAGCTCATGACATTCTTGTAGACAAGATGGAGAAATGTGCAATGAATCTACTTGAATGAAATCATAAATGACTGAAATATCACATCCAAAGAAGAGGGATTAATGGAATAATGTCAGCTTAAAAGAAATCTCTATTGTTGTGCCATAGGAGCCTGTATTTAACCCTATCTGATCCAATATTTTTATCAGTCACTTATAGGAAGGCAGACATTTTTATCAAATTAGAATGATGCAAAACCAGGAGAGTGACTACGCTGGATGACATAATCAGGATCCAAAGAGCTCTGACAGTCCTAAACAATGACTAGCAAGACTAACAAGATAGAACTTGACAGACATAAACAAAATCTTGCAGGAGATTAGGAAGAGGGGAGGTGGACAAAACCAAAGTTGTGTGGCTGTTTGAAGTGGGGAAGGGAGACCTGGTTTAAAAGATGGAAAATACCTAAGCAGTGTGGTTTGACAGAAGCTCAATATGAGACAGCTATTACAGGGAAAAGGGTGGATGACTCCATTCAAGGAAAGAAAGTGCAAGGAAAAGGATCTGGGGACATAGATCTGTGGGAAACTTGGATGAGGAGCTCCACGTTTGGAAAAGGATAACAGTCACAAATGATTTTTACACTAAAGTCTGCAAAACTCTGTTTTAATTTGGAAAAAAAGCAGTATTTGATTCAAAATTAATTGTCTAATTCTTAAGTAACAGTATGACTGGACTCAGGAATGTGTAATCTAGCTCATGATGGTAAGGTGCTTCCTTACCTGGTAGCTGTCCATGTCCTCCTCGTCCTCCTAGAAGAAAAATATATTACAGATAACTAAAACAATTGTTTTTTTCCAAGAATCAAGCTACCCATAACAACCAACCTCTTCCCATACCTTCTATTTTCTAATTTAATAAATAAATACTATTTCATCTCCCACCCATGCTCACCCTCATTCTCAGTTTTATCATTTTCAGGAAGTTGGAGTAAAATCTTAAGCTTCTCATAGGAAAGTGAAGAACACTCATTTGACCTTTTCAGGAACCAGTACAATACTTTCCCTGCTGGGTTTATAGTCCCACTCCCCAGGAGAAATCAAACACCTGCTGGCAAACAGTCTTTAGAAGCCAGTAGGGGGTTTTTGCAGAGAGGGTCGGTAGTAGGGGAAGTTAATCACTAGTAGGCAACTGAGGAATTTCTAGAGACTGTGATGTCTTAACCCTCAGTTTGCTATATACCAGGGCAAAACCAACAGTCTGGTATGGGTGCAGTGACTCTATGCAAATGTAATGTAGTGTAAAAAAACAAAAACAAAAACAAAACAATAAAACATTAAAGAAAAGTGAAAGAAGAATTGTTCACGGAAGGTAGTTTTCTGGCAGGTTCCAAAAGACTCTTTCATCTCATCAGGTCTTTCAACAAGAACATACCTGGCACAGAAACTTACATGAAAAGTCTCATGAGTCTTGGGGGATTTGAGCGTTCTAACTTTTACACATCCAATGCCAACAGACAATATACATTCTTCCATCAGTGGTAAAGTCCCAGATTCCTGCACAGACTTTACTTCCACTTGGACTCGCCGGGACTGTCCCTGTATCAATACACAATTCTTAAAATCAGTGTAATTTCCAAAAATTTGGTTTAGAGAGACCCCTACAGGCTGATGTTGAAAAAGTGTTTAACTTTGGAGACACTGTCTCAGCTTTAAAAGTAGTAAACTACAAATTGAAAAACTAATCAGGAAAAAAATTTTACCTTTTAAGCAAGTAGAAAGACATGGACTATATGGCTTACATATTTTTTCAATAAAAAGAAACATTAAGAGGAAACATTCTAACAAAGGAAATGCAAAAAAGCAAGGGACAATAAAACTGTCCAACTCACAATCAAATAAATACAAAATAAAATAAGCACAATACACCTTTATTTTCACTTACTAAACTAAGAATTATCTTTTAAAAAGGCAATTTCTGATACTGCCCAAAGTTTACGAATCAGGCAATTATATACATTGTTGGTGGGAAAACAGACTGGTAAAAGCTTTCTGCAAGGCACTTTGCCTTAAAAGTATAACTAACCCTTCACCCAGCAATTCAACTTTCTAAGAATCTGTTCTTAATAAATAATCATATATGTATATAAGGAATCTTAAAGCAATGTTAAGAATAAAAAACTAGATACAAATAAATGTATAATATTAACAATTGTTTAAACTATGGTGTATATAATAAAATATTACATTGTCATTAAAATATTGCTATAGAAAAATATACGTGATATACTAAGTTAAAGAGATTGGGGCACCTGAGTGGCTCAGTCGGTTAAGCATTCAACTCTTGATTTCACCTCAGGTCATGATCTCGGGGTCATGAGATTGACTCCTGCATTCGTATCTGGACTAGGTGTGGAGCCTGCTTAAGATTCTCTCTCCCTCTCCCCCTGCCGCCTCCTGTCTCTCTCAGAAAAAAAAAATTAAGATTTTATTTATTCATGAGAGACAGAGAGAGAGAAGCAGAGACACAGGCAGAGGGATAAGCAGGCTCCCTGCGGGGAGTCTGATGTGGGACTCGATCCCAGGACCCCAGGATCACGCCCTGAGCTAAAGGCTGACGCTCAACCACTGAGCCACCCAGGCATCCCGACTTTTTTTAAGTGGATTACCAAACCCAATATACATAGTATTATCTACTTTTAAAAATAAGCATAGTCAGAAATAAGAATGATAACAACTATCCTGGGTTCACTGCTCTAATACCAAATAATTTAAAACCATGCAGTAAAATGAAGAACTGAACAGAGAGAAACTGTTCCTTCTCACACACATTTTCATAATATTTATGCCACCCTGTATGTTTACAATGAAGAAGTATTTTAAAAGAAGATACCCCATGTTCCTAAATCACTGACTTCAAAGTTGGTTTATAAATTTTAGGAATGTAAAACAGAATTTGAACAATGGAATTTGAATATACAATTTCAAGTCAGTTACTCTTCCCTTCTCCCATCAGATTTTAATTCCCAAGAGCTCTGCGTTATCAGGGAAATCAATTTAGGCAATCATTAATCAGAAGGCTAGATTTGAAGAGATGGGTTACAGATGTCTTTTGATTTAATATTTTCCAAGGACTATGCATCAGATATTTTGTGGAAAGAGTACCTCAGGAAACATTTTAATTGTCTAAAACGGTTTAGTCATTTCAATTAGCTACATTTTGTTTGTTTACTTTGCCTAAAACAGAAAGTAGCCTACTCCCTGTGTGCATCCACACTGGAAGGGGGAAGTACAGGCACTGGGGGGTTGGGGGTTCAAGGTAGGCAAGATCCAGGAACAGCTCACTGTGCCACAGAAAAAGCTTTAAACAGTACACTTTAAACTAATGAACTGAACTTCCTGTAACTACTAATATTTGAGCATTTGTTAACCACAAAACCAGCAATTTCAGATGGTTAACATAATCAGTTCTCCTCTGCTGTTTTCCTGTTCAAGAACAGTAGGTTCTGGTTTTGAAATACATTAAATTCAAATGAGCCTACCATCCAAGTCATTCTATGAACTAGCCACATATGCTTCTATAACCTGTTACTGCTTTCCAGATTACTGCTACATGTTATTTTCTCCCCAAACTTACCTAATTCCAACTACTATAACTTTATTGTTGCTGTTTATGTATGAAAAAAAGCTTTTGCATTATTGCTTCAGCACCCAGATTAAGACTCACATCTTTCAAAAAACCTTTCCTGATGAACTCAATGCATCTTTGAACACTTTGAGTAGTAAAGGCTGTCAGAAATATGACAAATACTTATATATTCTATTTATACTAACCACAGAAAATTATCTGGTCTTGCCTTCCAGGCAACGAATTTCTGAGGCATCCAAAGAAGACAGATAGATAGATATATTATATATATAGCTTCAACAGATGTTCAGAAAAAGATGTTCTTCACACCCTTAAGAGTCCTATTTTATGTATATATCTGATGCTATAATTTAAGCTAATTTCCTTTTGATTTTAGTTCTTTGCCCATACATGAATGAATTTGCTAGAATTTATTTGCTGGGGTCAGAGAACAAGTGCTTATCACCTTCCTACTAAAACATTCAGAAACTTAAATATTTGAGCAAACTTTTTAAGCAAAATTTCTTTTCCCTTTAATCTTTTCTCACATTCTGCTTTGAATGATTTCAACATTCATTTTTTTTTAATTTATTTATTTATTTATTTATTTATGATAGTCACAGAGAGAGAGAGAGAGAGGCAGAGACACAGGCAGAGGGAGAAGCAGGCTCCATGCACCGGGAGCCCGATGTGGGATTCGATCCCGGGTCTCCAAGATCGCGCCCTGGGCCAAAGGCAGGCGCCAAACCACTGCGCCACCCAGGGATTCCCTCAACATTCATTTTTAAGAACTATTCTAATAGTTTACCATTGTTCTAAATTATAGAAACTATCATAGGAGACAATATTCTACTAAATGTCGAATTAATGTAAAGTATAGCAAAAAAAGAGTTTTTCCAAATCTTCTATGTAAATTCTATTAAGATAATTTCTCTTTAGCTGGTGGCATAGAAACTTTACAGATTATAATCTGCCTAGGGTTAAGTGACAATTCCCACATATTTCTCTGCTACATTGATTTCTGGCAGGTATTCATATCTACTCAGCTGCATTTATTTTTTTTTAAGATTTTATCTATTTATTCATGAGAGACACAGAGAGAGAGAGGCAGAGATACAGGCAGAGGGAGAAGCAGGTTCCCTGCAGGAAGCCTGATATAGGACTTGATCCCAGGACCTTGGGATCACACCCTGAGCCAAAGGCAGATGCTCAACCGCTGAGCCACCTATGCACACCCCCTCAGCTGCATTTATTTAACACCTCCCATAGTATTATAGAAGACATTTGGTCTTTGTCTTCAGATCCTGACAGAGAGCTCCTAAAACTCAAAACTTCTTATGTGATAATGATTATAGGTGCGTCTTTTAATGATGGAACTTTTAACCTGGCAATTCTTGGTAGGCCCCTAGATAGCTTCAGGAAGGGAGCTGGTAGCCAGAAACAAAACAAAACAAAACAAAAACAAGCCTTGATTAGAAGTTTGGAACAGGGCGGGGGGTGGGGAGGTGCCTGAGTGGCTCAGCTGGGTAAGCATCTGCCTTTGGCTCAGGTCACAATATCTCAGGGTCCTGGGATCAATCTCCATGTCGGGCTCAGCAAGAAGCTGCTTTTCCTTCTCCCTCTGCCACTCCCCTTGCTCAAGCTCTCTCTGTCTCTCTCTCAAATAAATAAAATCCTTAAAAAAAGAAGAAGAAGAAGAAGAAGAAGAAGAAGAAGAAGAAGAAGAAGAAGAAGAAGAAGAAGAAAAAGAAGAGGTTTCGAACTGTCAGCCCCATCCCAAAACCTCTGTACAGAGAAGGGATGGAGATTGAGTTACTCACCCATGGCCAATGCTTTCAACAGTTATGAAACATAATAAACATCCAATGAACATCCAGAGAGGACATGCAAGCTCTTTATCCCTCCTACTATACTTTGTCCCACAAATCTCCTCCATTGGTCTATTATTCTTGAGTCGTATCCTTTATTTTTAAAAAAACTAGAAATAGTAAGTAAAGGGGAGAAGAGTTGGGCAAACTCCTAACTTTGCAGCCAAGTTGGAAAGAACTGAGAACCCAATACTTGGAACTGGCATCTGAAGTAAGGGCAACCTTATGCTTAAATCTGAGCCCTTACACCTGTGGTATCTGACACTAACTTCGGGTGGCTAGGGTCTAAACCAAATTGAACTGCAGGACACTCAGTTGATGCCTGCAGAGAATCAGAGAACTGACTGGTATTAGGAGGAAAAGAGCCCTTTCACCTCCCAAGTACCAAGCACTGTGCTTCATATATGGTACCTCTAACCTCATACTAGTCATACAAAGTTGATGTTATCATCACACCTCCACTTTATTTCTAAGGAAAGGTTCTGAGAGGTTACCGAATTTGGTCGCAGATTTAGGGCTAAGCCAGGGGAGATCAAAACTGAACCCTAGCATGTTACTAGACTGTGAAGTGTTGTTCCTTCTGCCATGTCACATTGTTTCTCCTTAGAGAATCTTTAGAAATATTCTAATGCTGCTTGATATGTTTCCATTGTTTCCTGCAATTGAATACTGAGTCATCTTTTAAAGCTTATCTTTTTGTTTACTTAAACCTAAAAGAAGTTGGTTTTAAAATAATATAATTAGTAATATTTTTTAAAATGAAAGAAAACAGACATGAAATAGGAGGCAATTTTAATACAAAATATGGACTTGGCTAGTCTAGATTTCATTATCACCAATCCGACATTTCTGCTAATAGGAATCCAATATTAAGCTTTACAGTGCCAAAGAATTTAATGTTAACATTCAAAATGATAACTTTCACAATCTTGTTACCTGCCGGAGTTGAAAGATTCCTCCTGTTGGCACATCCTTTGCAGAAATTACTTCCACAGGGCAGTATTCGCCATTCTCATTCTGTTCCAAGATCTGGACCCAGAATTCCACTTTTCTGGTAACTTCACTCCATCTAGGAAATAGTTGAAGTTCTTGGAAAATCATACATTTCTATTTCAATACAGGCAGCTTAGGATCCTTCACATGAGAACTAACAATGATAATGAGGTCAAAACAGAATAATTCAATAGAATGACCTATAGTTCAGTGAGTTAATATACAAATACATACTAGCAAATATAATTAAAAGCAAAACAAAACAAATTTAACATCAGAACTGAAATGGTTCCTTCATCTCATTTAAAAAGGTATGATAATCACCAATCTATTCACCAATCTATTCAAAGTGGTTCAAATATGGTAATCAGAGGCCCAAAAGCAAGTACAGTGATTATCTTTTCATAGATAAAGGTAGTGATATATACGCTTGATTTTGTAACTTGACAAACATCTTTACTCAGATTAATAACAGAATCAAGAAAAAAACTCAATGTCTAGTTTAGGATCTACTGAAACATTCTAAATGCAAAAAAAAGAACATCTGGTTCTCTTCTATAATAAGATGGAAAGCACAAACCATGCTCTTTCAGTCATTCCCTTTTAACTCTTCTTTTTATAATCCTGGTCAACAAATAAGCCTGCCTCCTTCCATGATTGATGGCATTTCAAAAGAACTTTGTGCTAAAGTCAAAATAAGTAAAACCTGAATTCTAGAGTATATCTTGATCCATCCTCCCTACAGTTGATTAATTAGAATTCAGAATAATAAGCAACTATTCTCCAAAAATTCATTCATTCTTCATTCTTAACTAACTTCTCTTCCATCACTCTTCAAAGTTCACTCCTCCAAGAAGTTTAAATGTGCTATAAATACCCTGGAAACAATAGTATCTATCCCTGGGATACTGATAATGCACAGGAAAGGGTTATCTTTATAAATGGCAGTATTAATCTCTAGCAATTCTTTAAAATTACAAATGGAAGGGGGATTGGGGTGGCTCAGTTGGTTAAGCATCTGTCTTTAGCTCAGGTCATGATCCCAGGGTGCTGGGATCAAGCCTCATGTCAGATTCCCTACTAAGCAGCCTGCTTTTCCCTCTCCTTCTCAGCTCATGCTCTCTCTATCTCTGTCTCTCTCTCAAATACATAAATAAAATCTTTAAAAATAAAATAAAATAAAATAGGCAGCCCGGGTGGCTCAGCGGTTTAGCGCCACCTTCAGCCCAGGGTCTGATCCTGGAATCCGGGATCGAGTCCCATATTGAGTCCCATATCGGGCTCCCTGTGTGGAGCCTGCTTCTCTCTCTGCCTGTGTCTCTGCCTCTGTGTGTGTGTGTGTGTGTGTGTGTGTGTGTGTGTGTGTGTGTGTGTGTGATGAATAAATAAATAAAATCTTTTTAAAAAATAAATAAATAAAATAATATATGGAACCAGAAGGATATCTAAAATTCACCTATCCCGAAGACTACGTGTTTTTGCTTGAATAATCCCCAAATCCCACAGGGCTGGGTTTTTCCGAGGATCATTCATCTTATGGCCATATACTTCAATTGCCAATGCTCCTTCTGAAAGATGCTCAATGAAGTCTTCGGTAATGTTAACAGAAAACTCCTGAAAAAAAAAAAGTAATTATAGAAAGGAAATACTTTCTGGTAACTTTATGATTACTTATATCCACCATCATATAGCTACTTCATCATGGAGAAGAGAAATGAAAAAAAATGTTTTAATTATAGAACAGAACTATCATCTAACATGCATAATGAATGCTCAGATGGTCTAAGGTTCTTGACTTTAAACATAAGTCTAACTCTGATTTTTTAAAATACTTTTCGCCTTGAAAATCTATTATGAAAAACCAGTATTGTGTTTTATTTTGTTAGCAATATTTGGGAAGCCATTTTTAAGGCATAAATAATTATATTAAGAATTCCAGGGCAGCCTGGGTGGCTCAGCAGTTTAGCGCTGCCTTCGGCCCAGGGCCTGATCTTGAAGACCCAGGATCAAGTCCCATGTCGGGCTCCCTGCATGGAGCCTGCTTCTCCCTCTGCCTGTGTCTCTGCCATTCTCTCTCTCTCTCTCTCTCTCTCTCTCTCTCTCTCATGAATAAATAAATAAAATCTTAAAAAAAAAGAATTCCAACAATGATCTACAATGTCTTGATATAAAAGTTATTAGAAGCAATAAGGGAGCAGTGTGTTAGAACAACAATTTTTTCTAGCTTTTAGGAAGCTAATTATCTCCGTTAATAGAGTAAGGAAATAAATAATGATCATCAATACAAAAAAATCTAATTTTTAAAAATTCTCTTAATCTGTCCATCTTTACAAGATACACATGACAGCATTTTATAGTAATCATTAAGCTCCAAAACAGTTTATTGTAAAAAGTCATAGAATATACACTTTCTTTCTCTCTCTCAATCTTTAACACACTAAAGGTATTTCTACGTTTAAAAGAGATTATAAAGAGACCTCTCCCTCAAAAAACTTGAGATGGATCAACTATGGTATAGTAGAAACAAAAAATCTAGAGTCTGACCATCCTGACTCTTTTAATTACTAGTCATGGGAAAATGGACCTCTCTGAACTAGCTGCTTCTGCTAAAAATAAAAAAATACTATCATTGAATACAACTGTGGTAAAGATTAAGTGAAAGAATAACAAAGTCCTTAGTAGAGCATTAAGTGTTCAATAAAGTTCATTTTTTGTCTCTTTCCTATCTTCACTTTCTCTAAAACACTAGTTTCCTAAACTTTTTAGATGACAATTTCTCCAATAATCTTATACAAAACATGGATTCCTTTGAGTGTGTGTATACACACACACACACACACACACACATATATATAGTTGACCCTTGAACAACATGGGGATAACAGGTACCAAACCCCCACGGAGTCAAAAATCCACACACTAACTTTGACTCCCTAAAAACTTAACTACTAATAGCCTATATTGACCAGAAAGTCTTTCCAATAACATAAACAGTTGATTAACACATATTTTATATGTCATGTATATTATGTACTGTATTCTTACAATAAAGTAAGCTAGGGAAAAGGAAACATTATTAAGAAAACCAAAAAAAAAAAGAAAAAGAAAAAGAAAAAAAAAAGAAAACCAAAAGGGGGGCACCTATGTGGCTTAGTAGATTAAGCATCTGACCCTTCATTTTGGCTCAGGTCATGATCTCAAAGTTGTGAGACTGAGCCTCACATCAGGTTCTGGGCTCCTCATGGAACCTGCTTGATTCTCTCACCCTCTGCCCCTCCCTCCCTAAAAAACTAGTCAATTAAAAATAAGTAAAATATTTTTTTTAAAGGAAACCAAAAGGAAAAGAAAATGCATTTACAACCTGTGTTGTGCAAGGGTCAGCTGTATATATATTGACATAAAAGTAAATTTTTATTGTGGAGGAGTTAAGGAGCACTGACACTTTAGTGTTCCACCCCCCCACCCAGCTTTACTGAGATACAGATGACATATAACACTGTGCTAATTTAAGGTGTACCACTAGTGTATTGATGACATTTCAGTTTTTGACTCCAACCACACTCTAAGAAATTCTGATTCAAGATCTATGTTGATACCATATTACTCAACAAAATAATGCTCATTTTACAGTCAGTCCTGTTTTTACCTAAGTAATCAAATGTTAACCATGTCTGGAAAACCAACTTACATTGCAGTGATCAAAGACAACCATGCACTGAGGCTCCTTGCTGACAGGAGAGGAGGAGGAGGTATCCACTTCAGGTGCAACAGTTACTGGCTCCTGCTGATCCCAGAAGCTGTATTTGCAGAACACAAAGTGGGACAGATGCTGTGGCAACCCAGTGGCCTGGAGTATTTTAACCTGAAGGAAAAGTGAGGCTCTGTTTTTAACTCAGAAAAGGTGCAATAATAAGTACCTTGAATCAGATATGGGTCCCAGTCTTGGCTGTGTTACTACTGGTTTTTGTTGACCAAATCCCCTTCACTCTGGGGCAGTATTTCCTCAACTGCGCAATGCTGACAAGAACTGTCGTGTTTAGTAAGAGGTTGACACAGGGTAACAATGACCTTGACTATATAAACTCGGGATATTTTCAAGCATTTAGAGGCCAATTCTAGTTTCTTACAACATCATTATGATCATCATATAATAATAATAATAATAATAATAGTAATAATTGGCTCAAAAAAATAAAAGTTCTCAACCATCAACACCATTCAATGATATGAATTCAGCTAACTATGGACAGGTCCCAACAACATAAGATTGTTAGGAATGATAAATGAAGAATGAAATCAGCATAGGTGCCAATAAGGAACATTCAGTAAAGGGCAAAAAACATTTATTTGATGTTTTGAAGGATAAAAAAATAACAAGGTTCTTGAGTAGAATATTACATGGTACTAGAGAATTTTTTGGAAAATTTTAAAGGCATTAGGAAGGTATACTTTGAAGATATGGAGGGACAAAAGGAGGAGATTAAAGATAGTGAATGTTGATGATCTCTGTACCAACTCTTACTGAATGCCTTTTCTATGTGGACTTAGGGGAGATGAATCAAAGAAAATGCATCCTGGGCTTCAGGAGTGTAGAATTTTGTGATAACAACATGCAGTTAGAAATATATGTCTAATCAGACCCAAATGCACCAGGAATAAATGCCCATAATGGATTTAAAGCAGTCAAATATTCTAAATATTTCTTTTGGTCAGCAGTGATAGGTTGATTTTTAAGTTGGGATTTTTGTGATAAGTTGTGACATTCTAAAACTCCTCCAACTATAAAGGAAACTAAATTCTAAAATTAATTAAGCAAAACTAAATTCTAATTTTAGAATTGACTGGGCTGATTTTCATATGATTGAGCACTGATCATTTATTATGTTTTTCACTTGGTCACTTCCTGCATGTTGCATGATGTGCTATGCATCCAGTAAATAAATTTAACAAAAATAAACTTGAATATGTGGCCAAAGCTGATGTAGTTCAACAACCACAAATATAATTGTCTTAACGTTTTAGGGTGCATTAATAATAACACAGAATATCGTGCAAAGCAGATGACTATTTTCTTCTATACCAGGCACTTATATAATGGGTAGGCAATTGTTGAGAAATCCTATTACTGTTCATTTTTCCCTACAATGGCAACAAGAGTTTGAAACATTTAGATATCAATTCTCTGAAAGGCTACAAAACGACAGATTGACTAATGCAATTATTTGTCCAAACCCAAAAGAGTGAGCAATCAGTGTTTGACAATTAATTTTTTGTTAAATTTTAAAAACCACCACTTTTTTTCATTAAGTTTTTAAAATTTTTTAGTATATTCTTCAAGGTGAGACAATGTGATATTTGAGAAGATTACAAGATTTTTGTAGAACAAAGATCTAAATAAAACTCTCTGTCACATATTAGCTTCTGTTTTTGAGCAGATTAAATTCTTAGTTTTCTTAGGCTGAGATTTCGCCTATGTGAAACAGGATAGCTACCTACCTAATGATGATGTAGTGTGAGGAATGATGCTGGTGTGAGGAATGACTGTACAAGTAAAATGAAATGAACAAAATCACATCCAAGTACTGAATGGACAGATGTTTGATACATACTTCTCTGTGATTAAATTCCATCAGAAAGCCAATATTTTTTCTTAAAAATCAATCTCAATTTTAAGATCGAAATACATTATAAGATTTTATATGCTGACCTATATTCTACAGGCAACTTATCAGGAATAAGACTGCCAGGAATGAAGAATATCAGGAATGAGGAATAGCCTCATACCCAGAACATAGTTTTTGTTTTTTGTTTTTTAAGTTTCTGCATACAGAAATCAAAATCACCACAAGGTGTCAGAATACCATAGACTTTGACTTGCCACTGCTCAATATAAAGCCCAAGAATGTCAGAAGACATGCTGTTTGGGGTTTTAAAACATACTAATTTAATTTAATGTAAAGATATTTAAAGATATCAATATTTAATATGCACATACTTATTTTTCATCACAAAAAAAAAACAATCCAGACTGCTTTTATAAGCTGGTGATAAATTATCACCTATTATTGTTAAGTGTCCCAGACTGATTTCATTTTTTCCATCAATATTTTTGTCATATAGTCTATCTTCTTCCTTTTACACGAAGACTATTACATGGTTAGAATATAGTCTCTAAAAAGCACTCCCCACTGAAAGGAACCAGATTCCTTAGAGAAATGGCTGATTCCAGGTCTGGAATAGGAAATGCCCATGATGGGACTAGAATATCATCATACCAAAAAGCAAGAAAGCTAGCATAGTCTATGACCATGGGTTAGGGTTGTGTCAAAAGGACTCCAAGACAACTGAAGAGAAGCACATGGGTCAAAGATGGGATCATCTGAGGTTCAATATAGGTAATAAATACAATGGATTGAAACATAGCAAATATATCTAAATTGAAGAGCTCATAATGATATTTGGACTAAAAATAAAGTAAAATCTCACTGGTTACTTTTGTATATTAGAAGGAAAACCAATTAATTTTTCTGAAAATGAGATTTTTTTAAAAGGAGAATAGAATGGAGTATTTACCCTGCCTTTCCTATACATATCTCTGAAGAGCAAAATACTTGATTTAATAGGAAAATTCTCTCTAGAAAAGAATTCTAGCTAATAAATGAGGGGTGACAGAATTATAGTATCATTCTTTTCTAACTCCTAATGAAATATCTAGGTAATAATCACCAGTAATTGCTAACATCCCCAAAAGAAAGCCTTCTGATGGAAGAACACCCCACCACCTATAAAATGTCCTTGCTATTCTCCTTCCCCATTTAACATCTTCATGTCTAATTACCAATTTACAGCAAATACATCTTAACCCATTAAATAATACCAATCAGCAAAATCCAGATTATGAGAAAATACAAGACAACAATCCAATTTCTACCATAGATAAACTGTAGGGTAAGAGAAAAAGAGAGAATGAGAGAAAGGAAGCAAGCAAGCACAAGTGCCAGCACCTAAAGATTAAGATAGATTTAACAGACACCTCAAACAAGACAATCAAGGAAACTGGGTATCTCAAGAAAGTATTAATTTTTGATTATGATATAATGGCTTTTTTAAAGTACTCTTCTTTTGGAGATACATACTAAACTAGTATAGATGAAATATGATGTCTGGAATAGCTTCAAAATAATTCATGGGAAGGGGATAGTACAGAGTGGCTTAAGTGGATGAGTGAAATAAGACTGACCATGAGTTGATAATTCTGAGGGAAGGTGGGTGGGGATTAATAACACTTTTCTCACTACTTTGTCTATGTTTGATATCTTCCATTAAAAAAACTTAAAGATATTTAACTTTATTTTTTGTCATCTTTTTTATTTTTATTTTTTAAAGATTTTATTCATTTATTCATGAAAGAGAGAGGCAGAAACACAGGCAGAGGGATAAGGATGCTCCATGGAGGAAGCATGACATGGGACTTAATCCCCGGACTCTGGGATCACACCCTGAGCTAAAGGCAGATGCTCAACTGCTAAGCCACCCACATATCCCTAACTTTTTTTTTTTTAAGCTTATGTTATCCAGGATATACTACTACTTTTTTCAGCGATGATTTTTCCAAGTGAGACAGTATCCTTGTACTAATGTAAACTTTCACACAGCTGCATTTACTAGTCTAACATCTTTTAAATGGGCTGTTATGGAATGTCATCAAGTCTATGTTCCAACATTGCGAATCATATCATCTCAGAAAAAAATGTTCTAGAATCATGGATAACACAATGAAGGATTCACCTTTTAATGAATTAAGAATTCCCCCCCCCATTCTGAAGTATCTGCCTTAAACATCTGAGGCCTTAATATATGCAAGCAAAGACCCATAGAAAGGAAGCCATCTCTAATAGCTACAGCTTGCGCATAGCTTGCCTCACTCCTTTTGGTATTAACTCCATTCTAGAAATATTTACTGAGACACAGGACTGGACTGAGATGGATTATGAAATTAGAGTTAAGTTTAGGATTTTTTTCACTGTACTTTTTAATCGCCCTCTTCTCACTTGTACACTGTTCCTATGACCCTCATGGATTTCTCTTCCTCAAAAACCTTTTAACTGGTTCCTCCAGTGATTCTCAACCAATGGCACAAAGGCCCAGCTAGGGTATATTTAGAAATGTATGAGAGGATTTTTTTTTCATTGTCATAATGAGTAACAGAGGTGGCACTGACTACACCAATTGGATAGGAGTTCAGGAATATAATGACCTACTTAAAATTTACCTAGCAATTATCCATGAAAAAAATAAAGCACCTCATGGAGAAAGAGTTACAGAACATGCTCTCCTTCAGGTTCACTCTGAGTCTTGTTTCCAGAATTTTTCCTCAGACTTTACTCTGAGTTAATTATCTCTCCTCTATGTCCCAAAACATATCTTGTCTACCTCTCTCAGAGCACTTGGGTCACATGATATTGGGAGTCTTCTGTTCACTTGTGTGTCCCCCTTACACATACACACAAACTACATAGGTTGTTCCTTAAGAAAAGAAGTCCTGCCTTTTTCATCGTTATATTCCCAGCACGATGTCTGACACATAATACTCAACAGTATTCATGAATGGCACACCTTGGAAGGTTAGAAAGAGTAGGATTTGAGGTCAGCACATGCTGGAATAGCATACGCAAACGCACATTGGTAACGAGAAACAACAACAACAAAAAAAAACGTGGAAAAACAGTGTGAACAGAATCGGGCTAGGATAAATCTCAAGCATAGCAGAAGTCAAGAGGTCTAATAGGAGGAGGAAATTTATGTGAAAAAAAAAACTGTTTCTCTGCAGAGAAGTTCAGACAAACAAACATCCATATTAACTTTGGAGCAGAATGGTCCAGAAAAAAGAAGTGACTTATCCTACAGGCTTTATAGAGGAAGACAATGGAAGTACCTAGCTGAGTGGTAAATCAGTATATACAGGGACACCTGAGGGCTCAACAGTTGAGCATCTGCCTTTGGCTCAAGGCGTGATCCTGGTCTGGGGATCGAGTCCCGCATCAGGCTCCCTAGGAGGAGCCTGCTTCTCCCTCTATCTCTCTGCCTCTCTCTGTGTGTCTCTCATGAATAAATAAATTAAATATTAAAAAAACAGTATATACAATGAACTATGGTCTCTAGAATACCAATACTAAAGATTTATTTAGGAACAGATACTTTCAAAATTTGAAAAAGAACAGCATTTATTGTCTAACTACCTACAACCCTCAAATCAGCTACACTTCCACTGCTTCGAAATGAAACTGGGACTTACCATGCACACAAGTCTGTTTTCTTGGGTTTCCTTTTCACAGGAAAGATCTATGCTGTCATCACCTCCAGCAATTCTTTCCCCAATGTCACCACTGATTCGCATCACCTCTACATGCAGCCGACCTGCCACCTATAACAACAGAGGAAAAGCAGGTATTCTTTTCAGATTTGTTCTTTCTTCAGCTTTAGAATCAAATGGTTGGGTTAAAAGTAAATGACAATTTAGAAGCCTAGGTTCTAACAGTTACTTCTCCTCAAAGTACTGGAATAATCACCATCAAGAAGATGGAAAAACATGTATTAATAATACACATAAATAGCATTTGTTATTAATGACAAAGAGTCACAACAATATACTATCAACACTCTACTGTTTCTTAAACTTTTCTCTGAAGAGTACAAGGCATGAAAAGACAACTAACCTCTCCTTTCTGGTTGACAATTGGAACAGCATACTGTAACTTCACATCGTAGAAGAGTGACTCGAGGAAAACATTCGCCACCCCAATAAGACTGTGATTTTCCTGCTCATCATAGAATGGATCAGCACGCTTAAAGTAAGATCGTATGACCTTTAAAGAGATTTTAGACATTGCAACTTCAGAAATCACTTAAATTAATTCAACCTACTACCACTTTTTGATGGCCTCTAATAAAGTCATTAAACTTAGGTTAAGCATAGCACTGGATTACACACACTATTCCTCACTCCCTCTTTTAGAATAATGGTCAGCATCCTTCACCATGACAGCAATCTCAGTAATATGTCATTACATTTATCACTTCTTCTTCGTTATGTGGAAATCTTGCCATAAAAACAGAGAAAACCAATTGACTAAAAAAGTGAGTCGAGTATACAAAAGCACTCTTCAGTTTTCATTCATGTCTATTCCACTTGTTCCTGCCAAATCATAAGATACAGTGCCACCAAGGAGAGCTGACCCCCTTACATGAGAGTGCTTTGCTTTTTTGTAACTTGTTAATGTTTTATTTCTAGGCTAAAATATAAGAAGAGTATGGAAGAAAAAAGAAAAGGGAAAAAATTTTGAAGAAAAAAATGTCATCTAACTATAAAATATCATTTTTATTGATGACAATCTGGAAAAAAATAAACATGTTTTTAAAAAACAAGAGGCTAAAAATAAAAATAACAAACAAGAGGGAAATAAACAACTCTATGTGGAAACAAGACCAGTGTTGAAAATTATAAAAACATACATGGTATGTATTTCTGTTTTAAAATATGCACAAGTACGTGGCTGACCTAAATGGGAAAAGCTGCAACTTGAGAAAGTTCGACAAGTACAGCTGTACGGCACCCATCTCAGGATCAAAACTCCTTTAAAATCTGCTCTTAGTAATATAAATATTAAGATACCACTGATGTTCTATTCAAAAAAGAGGTATTGTAGGTTTCTGTTAGCAAATGTGGAGAAGTGGGGAGAGAGTGAATAAGGTGTGGTCTCTGTCCTGAGTAAATTCACAGTCCAGTACAGAAGCAGACACTTGTGACACCAATAGATGTCAGAATGGAATGTAGAAGATTCTACTAGAAATCCAGAGAACACAAAATGAGGAAAAGAAAGGAGATGCCAAAAAAAATAGGCTATTAAGTTTCTTGATTAGCCAAATAATTTAGAGGATTAAAATAAGTATTATTCTAGATTCAGGATTACTATTTTAGAAGAATGAATAATTCTTCCCTAAAAAAATGGGTAGGCTCCTTCTTGCTTGATTCCTTCTATAACTACCAGTTATTTTTCTCAGATAACTTACTGGGGTATCTTCTTCACACTCCTTCCACTCCTGATAAAGGTCTCTCATATCCAGTAACCTGTTGTCCAGTTTTTCTAGAGACCAAATCTGTTTTCCTTTTCCTTTTCTTCTCACCTGGATTGCAGGTTCACTAAGAAGAGAGCCTCTCTATAAAACAGAAAGAGTGATCATGTGACACACAAAGATATCCTCATGGAAGTCAACCCTGAACATTCTATACATACCAGTCAAATGTCATCAACCAAAATTGAAATTGCTATCCTTCTCTATCCAGTTCAGTACAAACCTTCTCAGAAATCTTACAAACTTAATATAATGCCATTATATCGAACTGTGATCAAAATTTAAATTATGTAAATTAGATGTAATTTTATAAAGTAAATTCATATAGTAAGTTATTCATCTAGTAAATTGGATATAAATTTAAATCATATTTATTTATTCTTTTGGGTTTTAAACATTAGTAAATCAACATGATTTAGTCTTTTGGATTTTAAACATTTGGGATTTAAACATTAATAGGAAATCGTTATTTGTCCATCATATGATCAGAGTATCAGTGGGTAGAAAAAAGAGTCATAAGCATTGAATAGCAAGGGAAAGTTTGCTGGGATGCATACCTTAGAAATGATCTCTTACTTTTCAAAAGTTTTAATTTAAAAAAAATTTTTAATGGGTAGTTTCTTAATGTGTGGTACAAAACACAAAACATTTAAAAGAGCAACTGTGAAAAGAATCCCATTTACCCATTTCGAGGCAACAAATTATAACAATTTGTAAATATATACAGTTTAAAATTTAAAAAAAAAAACAGTATGGAACTAGATAGAGATGTTGGTCACACACCACAGTGAATGGACTAAATACCACTGAACTGTTGACTTCATCTTTTTTTTTTTGAAAGATGGGAGAGGGGCTGAGAGATGGGGATAGAGAGAATCTTAAGCAGGGTCCAAAACCCAGCACAGACCCTTAAGATCATGACCTGAGGGGCAGCCCCGGTGGCACAGCGGTTTAGCGCCGCCTGCAGCCTAGGGCGTGATCCTGGAGACACGGGATTGAGTCCCATATCGGGCTCCTTGCATGGAGCCTGCTTCTCCCTCTGCCTGTGTCTCTGCCTCTCTCTCTCTCTGTCTCTGTGAATAAATAAATAAAATTCTTAAAAAAAAAAAAAAAAAAAAAAAAGATCATGACCTGAGCCAAAATCAAGAGTCAGGACTCTTAACCGACTGAGCCACCCAGGTATCCCTAAACTGCTCACTTTAAAATGGTTTATTTTATGTTATGTGAATTTTCCCAGGGAAAAAAAACTCCTAGAATTTAATGAAGTTTTTCTGGTTTGTAAAAGCAATAAGGGTTTGAGATTTTTTTAAGATTTTATTTGAGAGAGAGACCATGAGTGAGAGGAGCAGAGGGAGAGGCAGAGAAAGAATCTCAAGCAGACTCCCTGCTGAGCACGGACTCCCCCTTCCCCCCCCCTCCGCCATGTGGGGCTCCATCCCAGGACCCTGAAATCATGACCTAAGCTGAAACCAAAAATCAGAAGCTCAACCAACTGCGCCACCTAGGCACCCCAGAGCAATGTGTTTTTCATATAGAAACAGTTTTTAAACTCTTAAAACTACAAAGTAGAAAATAAAAATGCCCTTGTGTATCTCCCCCAGAGCGAAGTTATCCATCAATTATCTAATCAATTTAGATTTACTGGATCATTTGTCAACTATTTAGATAGGTGTACTCAGAACTTTAGGAAATTTTGAAATACACCAATGTTACTTTAACATCTTACTTACTATAATCCTTTCCAAGAAACCAAATTTACATAACGGTAGATTCTCAGTTCAGAGCTCAAAAATTACCACCTTCTCATATACTATAAAGGCCCTTCTACCTTATACTCAGCCAGCTAGGGAATAAATACAAAGAGCTCATCAATGATCCACAAGGAGTGGTATTATAGGCAGAGAATGCTAGAATGGGAAGAAAATGGCAACCAGCAATATGCTGCACATCATCATGATTTGGCCCTCCTGCAACTATAACAAGAACTGGGAAAAAGACAAAAGAAATTTCTGCCTCTTACCAAAATCATGAGAGAGAGTCGAATACAAGACCAAGAAGAATAAGACCAAAACAAACAACAGTGCTCACAGCATGGCCAAGACATTAAGTGAAAAGAAGCTTGCAAGTACCAAAAACAAAAGATTTTGTTGGACAAAAGGTTTTGTTGGCCTGGCCTGAGTTCAGGAGACTCTCTCCATAAGAAATAACTTCCTTGTCCAGCTCCTCTCCTCTCTCTGAGGGAAATCTGAAAATACTAATCTATTAAATCAGTAATATAAGCAAAGATTAGAAGCTATTAACATGTTAGCAAAGGCTGCCCTCACTCCAGTAATGTACAGCATCTCCATCAGCCTTGGAAACAGCTCAAGGAACACAACATCAGGGGTATAGGAGAGAGAGATGCAAATGACACATCACTTCTAGGTATTGACTTGACTGCCTGGAGGCAAGGTTGCTTCTTTCAACAAAGCCCGAGCCAGGATACACAGGAAAAAGCTACAGACAGTCATGCTTAATGGGGAAAAAATGGTTATGTTTCTGTTTTTCCAACTGAAACACTACAGAATGGAAGAAGACCTTGCTCTGCTCAGTATGCTAGAAGAATCTAAGCCCTATACCTTCTGCCCATGAGTGGTTTTCCTCTACTGCTTTTTGTCTGAGTTTCACTGCACCCATGGTTTGCCCTATAAATACCAACAAGCAAAATAAAGTTCTAGGTTCAAATTATACACAGAATAGGTATCAAAAGACACATCTCCATAAAGCAATGAGTGCATCACATTCACAATACCTATATTACTCAAAACATTAAGCATCATATTTGCCAAGTATCTATTTTGTGAAAACATCGACCTTGAGGTTGTGATGTCACAAGAAGAGAGATGTGGTCATGGCTACCAAATCAGAATAGAACACCCAAAGGATTCATTAAAGCTTTGCTGTGTCAAATACTGTGGGAGAAACAAAGCACATGGACCCTCAAAATATTTATCTGAATACCAAATTCTACATACTATCAAAAATTATATATGAATATGATCAAGAGCTAGAAAAGAGCCTTAAAATCAAAGAAAACAACTGGATGGCAAAGATAGACATTTTTGATGGGATTTCCGCCTTCCCTACATTTTATTAAGGTTACTACATTACATGAAAAAAAATTGTAATCGTGAATATACGCATAAAAGAATAAACAGTTTTGCAAAGTAATCAATTAGCAAGTAAAAATAACATGATATACACAAAATAAACACAACTTAAGTGGCTGTAGAGTGGTAACAGAATGGAGGGCAAAAACCACTTTCCAAAGATCCATCAGGAAAAGACTTTTCAGAAATCATATAAACAGACTGGAAGAAAAGGGAGCTGAGTGAAATAAATTGGTGGGGTGTGGTGGGAAAAGGTGGAAAGGATGGTTCTAGTGGACAAAGAACACATATGCACAAAGGCAGAGAATTAAAAGCAAATGAATTCTACTGAAGAGTGGAGAACATGTACAGAAGGATGTAGACTGCAGAGAGTGTAGGTAAGGATGAGGGCAACCATGGGTGTTGAAATAACATGGGTGAAACAGACAGCAGTTTGTCTCCCATTGACAGCAACCTCACCTTCCTGTTGGCATCAAGGCTGGAGGCTGGAATCTGCAGGGTTACTTTGTACTCTGTTCTTTTATCCAGTTCCTCTGCAATGTAACTCGCTTCTCTCACCAACAGATTGGCTTTCACAATTTGTTCTCTCAGCCTTAGCAGACTGTTATTCAGTGTTGCCTCTCTTTTAAAAAAGGGGGAGGGGAGGTGAAGGATAACCATCAAGCAGCACATCAGAGTATTAGGTAGTACGCAATATGTTAATACCAAACTGCGAACCAAGCTCTACAACCGCCTTTTGCATACAGGGAATATATTACTGACACCGACCCATGCACGCTCGTGTAATAAGCTGGCCATTGATTAGGACAGTGTTTCAAAAATTTGACGGTGTCTACAAACCTCCCCCAGGGGATCTTGAGAAACTAAAGATTTTGATTCAGCAGGTCTGAGGTGGGGCCTGACACACTACACATCTAACAATCTCTACCTGACAGAGATGCTGCCTGTCTGCAGACTAAACTTTGGATAGCAAGAGGTTAGTTAAGTACAGTTGGTAACCATGGATGAGACATTTGAGTGCAATGCTAATTAGCCCATATAGAGTTCAAACTTGCAATCTGCATCTCATTAGCACCATGCTTTACCTACCTGAGCTAATCAGTCCAGATAACCACCTTTCTTTTTTTTTCCTTTTTTTAAAAAGCATCTACCCAAGCTTCAGAACCTAGAGTATAATACAATGATAAAGTATAACTTCTAAGTACAAATACTTGCTTATTCAAATCCAAAAGCCATACAAACTAAAATGGGGCAGCACTTCACATGGACAACTTTAAATAAATCAATCTAAATTGGTAATTCTCATTTTTCTCAAAAATGAAAAAAAGATAATGCCAAAAAGTTCTTATTAATTAAGCTGCAACATTCTTTCTTAATATAATTCTATTTCAAGTAATGTCTAGATTTCTCCGTACTGTGTCTTACCTAGGTAGGTTAAAGTGTTGAGCATATGCTATGCACACGTAATAAAGGCCCTATGCACCTACCTCTCCTCAGCCCACTGTCTCAATCGCTGTTGAGCACTGGGTGAGTGGAAAGAAAACCTGTCCCCACTACGACAGTTTTGTTTCTCAGGAGACAGCCTTCTTCGTAATTGCTCCAATTCATGTTCATACATAAGCCTCTGGCGTTCTAATGCAGATCGTTTTTCTTCTTCATGCTGTTGTTCTAGGCTGTTCAATATGGACTGCATTGGATCTAAACAAGAGGTTTTTTCTTTAAGGTAAATAATGAACAAAAAGTAACAGTATAACACAATAGATTTCAAATGTTGTTCTATATTGCTATGCTGTTTGTCATCCTAATTAGTAAGCGAATATTCTTGGAGAGAGTGTGGAATAAATTCAATTTTCCTTACTCCCAACCACTCATCATACATCTATACTGTCAGATACATGCCAAACTGTCTTCCATACAGGAAAAGCAGGCCTACTGCATGTTCTACACATAACCTAAGAGTGGCAGTGGCAGTCAAGTTTCAAACCTGAAAAATTCTATCAATGAGAACAAACTTTGCAGTGATTTGTAATCAAGGCTGAAAGAATGAAAAGTTTTTATAAATGTTATAAATTAAAAGAATATAGAGAATAACTAAGATTTCCCTTTTTTAACATTTAAAAAGTCTCAGTCATAAACATTTTTAGCTTTCCATCAACTTTAAAAGATTCTAGAGGCACCTGGGTGGCTCAGTAGTTGAGCATCTGCCTTTGGCTCAGGTCGTAATCCCAGGGTCCTGGATATAATATAATATATATATAATATATAATATAATATAATATAATATAATATAATATAATATAATATAATATAATATAAAATATATATTTTAAAATGCACAACAGATCTGCTCACCATTATTACCCAGGGCCTTCATGGTGACCTCCATTTGTGCATATTCATAATTGAAGTTGATTTCACTGGACACCTCACTGGAGGAGTCTCCATCTACATCCAGCTGCTCTGAACTGGTTTCATTCTTCATGGAGATGTCATGTTCATCATCCTCTCGATCTGCTTTCTTTTTCTTTTTGGGCAAATTCAGTCTTGGTGGAAAAAAAGAGTATTATTTTTAAAATAAAGATATGCATTTATTCCATTCATTAAATACTGGTATTTGCTAGATGCCAAGGGGGTACAATGTAAGGGTAAGGCAATTAATTACTATACTCAGGAATTTTATCCTCTAGTAGTAGAAATAAACACACATGCATGAGCAAATAGGTACAACAGACCATGTGACTTGGGGCCACATGACTGTGACAAGCTAGGTGCTGAAGAAAAGCTGAGGACCACTGAAGAGTAACAACAGAAGAGATGACAGAGTAGGAAGTCATCTGAGCCAAGTCTTAGAAAATAAGGAGAAAGCAGGGCAGTTAGGGCAATGGGAACAGCATGAGAAGAGATGTAGAGCTGGAAACTTTCATTGTCTCTGGAGAAATTATGAATAAAACAACATAGTGGTATGTGAAGTTTGTACAGTAGAGGTTATGGGAGATAATACTGGAAAGATCAACTTATCCCAAATTATGAAGGCCTTGAATACTAAGCCAAGCAGTTTACACTTGATTTAGTTTGAGAAGGAAAAAAAAGGAAAAATACTTTCTGCATTCTTTGTACCCCTCTACCTTTTCCCCAGTAATCAAAATATCAACTGGCCTACAAGCAACTGATCTCCATTAGCTATAAGAAAAGCCAGTCTGATATCCCAAGCATGGTGACCAGTGACAGGAAGAGAACCAGACCAGGATTTCAGTTCTATACAATGTCTAGCCCATCCTTCCCTGGCAACACAACACCAATTTTCTATGGGAAACAATGTGTGCAGTCCCAGAACAGGTACTTTCTCAGCCTCCCTTGTAGTTAAGAGGCATAGTCTAGCAAATGAGACAAAAAATGGAAGGTTGCTAGAGACTCTGGGAAGACTTCCGCTTTTTCTGATCAAGCAGATAGGGCCTTCTCCCTCATTTTCTTCGTATGTGCCTGGATGCTGCTTTGATACCTGGAGTGGCATAGCCATCTTTAGACCACAGGGAAATGCCAAGACAATGAGATAGTGACAAGCCTTCTGCTATGACAGTTTTGAGAGGCTTATTAGCCAATGCCAACAAACATCCACCTTGGGATTTCTTATTTGGTCAGTGAAACAAACTGTTTAAGCTATTATAGTCAAGTTTGCCATTATATATAGCTGAAAACATTCCTAAATGAAATACAAACTTTATATTTTTTAAAGATTTCATTTATTTATTTGGGAGAGAGAGGGAGAGAGAGAGAAAGAGAACAAGCAGGGGGGAGGGGCAGGGGGAGAGGGACAAGCAGACCCACTCACTGAGCAGGAAGCCTGACATGGTGCTCAATCCCAGGACCCCAGGACATGACCTGAGCTGAAAGCAGGCATCTAACCAACTGAGCCACCCAGAAACTTTGAACCTTATTTTGCTTTATTGTTTTTCCGAATTTTATCTTACAAATTAGGAAACTAAAACTACTACTTTTCCCATAAAAAAAAAATAAACAAGTCAAAAGATAAGCATGTCAGAAAAAAAAAATTAATGAAT